CGAGGTAATTAAAAAAAAGATTAATTATTACCACTTCTATCTAATTTTGCATGTAAGGGAAATTGTTACTGCAGTAGGGAAGGCAAAACATGCCATGCTTGTAAAAGAGGATTTTCCATGAGAAAAACAAATTGAAATACAGGTAGCTAAATTTTTTGACTTTCAAGGCCCAGATCATGAGTGAAGAGTTCATATACTGTTGTCTACTGTCTTTCTCTGAAAGGAAAATTATATAACTAAAGTTTTAAAATTATTCGTAACAAGGCAGAAGAGAAAAAAAAAAAGAAAAAACAAAAAGGAGAGAAAATGCCAGTATTGATATATAGGGATTTGTTAGATCAGCACTATGCATCAACTTCATGAATACTCTGGGTGATATCAAGTTACATTAAAAATTACTAGTCATGTTGGTTACTATCTTCTATTAAAAACTGTTAGCTGTCATTAAACCTTATCTAGCAGTACAGATATTTATGAAATATTTTCTGCATTAATATTTAATGCCAAATACTGGGTAAGAATGAACTTTGAAAAGTAAAGACAGACATTACAGTTGAAGATGAAAACAAAGGCCAAAAAAACCCCAAATCCCCTCATCTTACAACAGGCACTGGAAGTTCAGAGATTCAGCACTAGGGGCCACTGTAAGCCAAGCAATGTCGGGGAAAGAAATGTACACACTGAAAATGTCCTAAGAACTCTATTAATGCTATTGTAAACCACTACTTTCAATTTCAGTGATTTCTCTCAAAGAAGAAAATTAAATGGCAAATATGAAGGACAATACATTCTAAGGGTCCTAAGAAAGTTTCAGTATTGTTTTTTTCTTATTCTTCTTCAGCTTGTCTTTCCTTTTTAGCACCACTGGAAAGAAATAGCTGTTTACACAAACCCCAGATTTTTGTTTAAGTTAGAACAGGGAAGTAATGGAGGTGCATCACATGTCCCAGTTAAGTGTTGCCATTACAAATACAGTGAAAAGCTACCAAATCTTTTAGGAACTCACGTCATGAATCCTAAGGAATATCTCTTTGAATTTTTGATCAGACTTTGTTTCAAAATCTTTTAATTGCTTACCTATGAGAGAGAGAGACAGGGAGAAAGAGACATCTAAAATATTAGAGAATACTTTCTACAGTCTCAGACTTTTCCTACTGTGCTTAAGGTTTCATTAGATTCAGCTGTAACATTGTCTTATCTGTGAACTCAACACATTCCTATAAAAGAAGTATCTGAATATCTTCCACTAAAGAACAAAGGGCAATTTATTAGTAAAGCACATCCTGATTTCTGACCTGTAGAGTGTGTTGCTTGGAAGCCTTTTCTTTGAACTGATGCATCAGAAATAAAGCGGAGAAACATTTTGTTTCCAGTAGCAATAAGAGGATCTGGTATCTTATTGCCACATAAGCGCCCAAGGATTGGTGATTTTTCACTTTCACCATCAAACACTTCCAAGTGGTCATAAGCACATTCCTGATGTTGTTCTATTTCAAATTCATTGAACATCTAGGAGAAAAAGAAAGTAAAATTATCCATTGTGCTACTGCGTTTATTGTACTTACACGGTACATATGTTAATCTGTTTTAGAATACAAAGATATAGTTAAGATGACAGATTTAACATTACTGCCTCTACAAGCCTGTAGCTTGAGTGACATTGATCTTGAGAAGGTGGAATAACAGTTAAGACAGTGAACTTCAAGAGTGCATCATCCTTCATATAGAAAGGTATTAGAATCTTTATAGTCAACTAATATCTATAAGAGAACGTTAAATCTAGAACACAGTGGCCTTTCTATTGAATTTGCACTGTTTGTAGGATTATTCCAAATTTCACACAACATTCAAAACAGCAAAAAGTCAGAAATTACTATTTCCTTGCATAGTTTAGGATCAATTGAAACATCTGTAAAACATAATGACCTCCCCTCTTTGTTTTTTAAAACTTACATTTCACTGCAACTAAAGCCCTTGAGAATGACATTTCCACATGAAGGGTTATGCATGGAAGTTACATTTTCTAATCTATTATCTAGAGATCTATTTTTTTTATTATTACAACGCTAACAATATTTCAGGCTGTGCCCTCCATACTAAGGTCACCTTTTTGCTAGCAAAAGCATTGTGAAAAATAACAAACTTATGTTGGTTATTTAATAGAAAAAACTTCAGGCATTTCCAAAAAGTGTATGCCATACCGGAGAGAAACTGTTAACACACACATAACTAAAACCTCCTTAAAAATGGAAGGGTGTCTTCCAAGAATAGACTGATTTGAACAAATTTATTTCAAGGGGACATCTAAGAGTTTTCAGATAAGACTTTTTGAACAGGGCTAAATGCCAACAGGAAACCTAAAACACTGAAAAGGAATATACATATACCTCTTCGTAAATTTTTAGAGTAGCCTACAATTTAAGGTGAAATTCAATATCTATTTTTTTCATTAAAATAGCATAAAAACACTGAGTATAAATTCTCTCATAAGTAGTCATATAGCTAACCGTTTATTAAAAAAAAAAAAAACACAAAAAGATTAAGAAAAATAATTAAAAGGAATAAAACTAATCAAATACTGAGCAAGTATCATAATTAAGCATTCTCTTTGGGATACCAAAGCAAATGACTTACCAAATCCCTTGTGGAATCCAGACAGTGTGAAATGTGATGGTAATTTATATTAACAGCTGACCTAAAGAGTTAACACAATGTTTTTTGCCCAAAGAGCTGCAATATTCAGAATAAAACTTTTGTTTTGTGAAGAGCCACATGATGCAGTGAATGCAGGCCAATTTCACAGGAGAATTTTGGGGTTTACATTAAGGGACTGAAACTGCAGAGGCAATGAAAACAGCTATACAGCAGTCCCTCCTGCTACTCTTAAATTGTGGTCAGCCATCCTACTTTTATGACGTCAAGTATGTGTTGTCATTTGCACCTAAATAAAATCTGATGAATTAAAAAAAAAACACAGAAAGCTAAGAGACTAAATCTCAGTAAGGGAGTTAATTATACATAGTATTGAGTCAAGTCAACTTGGACTCACTGGGAGAAATAGATGTAATCCAAGAGCACCCTGCGGAGCCTTGTTTTCTTTTAGAGGAAAATAATATCATTTTTATTCACTTCTTATCAACATTAAAAAAACCAAACAAAACAACCACCCTCCAGGAAGCACATCTCACCATGACCTGTAAGACAAACCTATTATTTTTAATATTTTAATTCTTGCTGGGATTCCTAAGCATGCACAAACACAGTACGTTATATTGCGTCCCACAAAGATGACCACAAAAAAATCCTAAATCTGTTGTGAGTACAGCAACTGATTGTAGCAATTGCAAAGAGAATCAAAGGAATTCTTTTTAAAAGGAAAATCAGATCTTAATATGCGTAGTCTTTTAAAAGCTCAAAATGCCTTATATCTTAAAACACTCAAAAAGAGTCTCTATTTCTTGCATAATCAGTCAGTTCCTAGCAAATTTGAAAGAGAATAACTGACACAGACTTCCCTTAAACATAACTGAATAGTGGCTGTCAATAGATTTCACAAATGATCTAATACAGTTGTTAGTATAATTAAATCGCACCCTGTGTTCCTGGGACAAATACTTTTGAATTCCTACCCCACCATGACTACAGTCCTCATTTTAATTGTGTCCTTAATGGGAATGGTGTTCAGAAATGTTTCATACTGCTTCTGAACATCGAGCCCCTTCTATCTGTACCACTCAGCTGAGTAGATATGTTGGTAGCACTTATGGATAGCTGCCTGAATGGGACACTTCAGTCTGTCTCTTATAAACATCCGGCTGATGAGGTTGTGAAAATTGGTCTCTCTGCTTCACACATTTTCAAAACCATCTTTATCTACATGTTTCATTTAAAACTTCTGAAGCACATATCTATTTTTTCATAGACTTCTTAATTGCACTAAATGCTTAACTTTAGTCTGTTCAGGAAGAGACTTTTCAATGATTATCAGAGTGAGAGCAATCACAACAAAATATTAGTTTCTGTACAAACAACCCTCTCAAAAAAGGAAGCACAACCCCATAATTAATATGGATTGCTACCATGAAAAAAACAATTCTCTCCTTGTTCAGTTTGAACAAATAACCTATGACAAGTAAACTTAAATACAGTGTGAAAGTCCAAGAAAAAGTATTGATCCATTGTGGAATTATGGTTAATAACATACAATACCAATACAACAATATTATTGATATGGTACCTTGCTGTACAACACAATTTAAAGATATTATACACACTGAATTTAGTAATTGACTTTACTGGCTTGCATAGAAGAGCTGATCTCAGACTCCAAATCATTGAGATATTTTTGAAAATTCTATGTGAATGTTGAAATTTTGCCTGCTGAGATTATAAGTACTGGAAAAGCTTTTACACCAACGTGCCCATGCCTATGCCTGGTTGGCTTTGGTTTATTCAGCCAGAATGCTTGCTCAGAAGTAGCAGTAGGAAGGCCGACTGAATCAAAAACCTATTTTTCACCCTTGGAATGGGCAGAACATGCACACCGCTCATTTTCCACCCCCTGCCAACTTCCCAGCATAATTTAACTGGGTTTTTTTTGGTGAGTAGGAATCAATACACAATCTCACATCAGCACCAGCACCAGTAACAGGAGTATAGTGTTTAACCCCAGCCAGCAGCGCATTGCTCAGTTCCTGACCAGTAGCACTGGGGGAAGAATTGAAATAGTAAAAGATAGAAAACTCATAGATTGAGATAATGACAGTTTAATAGGGGAAGCAAAAACTGTACACACAAACAAACCAAAACAATGAATTAATTCACTGCTTTCCATGGACAAGTAGGTGTTCAGCCATCCCCAGGAGAGCAGGGACCCATTACACATAATGGTTCCTTGGGAAGACAAATGTCATCATTTCAAACATCCCCCTTCCTCTTCCTTCACCTCCATTCTACATATTGATCATGATGTCATATTGTATGGAATATCCCTTCGGTCAGCTGGGGTCACCTGTTCTGGCTGTGTCTTCTCCCAGTCTTCCACGCACTCCCAGCCTCATCACTGGCATGGCAGTAGGAAAAGCAGAAAAGGCCTTGACTCTATGTAAGTACTACTCAGCAACAAGAAAAACAGCCCTATACTATCAACGCTGTGTTCAGCATAAATCCAAAACATAGCCCCATACCAGCCACCGTGAAGAAAATTAACTCTACCCCAGCAAAAGGGGTTAGAGTTTGGCTAAGGTCAGCAGTTATGAGATTACAATATCCCTTTCATCCCTGCATCAATATTGCCTATTGCTTCTACCTCTCTGAAGTAGAGACAGCTCTCTCCTTAACTTTATTTGCTCCAAAACTGTCATAAAATCAATTTATCATATTTTAAAATATGTAAGGCCAGCTTTTTTTGTGGCTGTTCCCTGAGTACAGAGGGACAGTGAAGGAACACTGGGACTGAGCTAAAAGCAAAAAGCCCCCTAGGTAGGACCATGCCTTCAGCTTTGTACAGAGGCAACGTAACCTCCATAGACCTGTAAAGTTCTCTGCTAGCCTGTCTTTAGCCACCAGCATTGTCCTCAGCCAGTTGGACACAAAATTCATAAATCTAATCCAGTCTGCTCTTCTACTCATGCTAAAATTTGGAGCCACTTTTAAATGAGAAATCCAGATTCTTGGGGTTTTTGCATCTTCTTTTCCTCCTCAAAAAGTACAGATCAGAAATACAAAAAGTGTGTGTTAGAGGACTGTTCATAACTCAAATTTGGCTTTTTCTGGAGTTGTTTAAATGGCCTCTGCCACATTTGTCAAAACTTTGCAGAAGTTTTATGAGTTGCAACAATAATACAGTAAAGTCTGACAGGAGGAAAAGTATTCCTCCTGCCTTCTGCTGTCCAGAATATTCCCAATCACTATAAACTTGAACGATAGCTCATGATATTGAGTAGTCCCTGTTGGCCAGAAATGGACAGGAGTCAGCAAGTTTCTAAAATAGTTTACCTCTGGGATGCAAACTGATGGTAAAGTTTAGTAACAGTTTCATATAATTGAGCAGTCATTTGAGAAGCTGGCTTGGTAGAAGAAAAGATAAAAAGGAAGTCACCAGAAACTCACCAATTTGACCCTCTGCCCAGGGGTGGCACTGATTTCCCATGTGCACTCCTTTCTGCTGGGATACTTGTCAGGCCAGTTGGGACTCGTGATGATACCATTGGGACTGTGGATCTTCTGTTCACACTCAGCTGTGCCAACAGTGATAGCATCAGTTAGTCTGGGATTCTGCATTCAGAAGTAGCCAAAAAAATACTATATTTTTCAGGGCACCCACTGAATGGAAAGGATCTAGAGAAAGACAGGTAAGGATGCTCTTCAGTGTGCACAGTCACGTTCTTCCCATCAGGCACACACTTAACAGCATTAACCCAGCATGCCTGCTTATTGATTGCTGTGAAAAATACACTGTTGTTTACAATAGATGGCCTTTTTTTGGAAAAAGTATTATAAAGGAATAAACACAAGATAAATATTAAAAATGAATCAAATATTTTGATATTTCTCCCATCCTACATACAACTAATTATGTAAATCTACATGAAAAATCTTTCTACTCCAACTACAAAAGAAATTTCTTGAACAATTTATTTTTTTCTATTCTTGCTAATTTTCATATTGCAGCTACAGAACAATCATTTTGATTTCTTAACAACAGTTTCTATGGATATATATACAACGAGAGAACAGCTAAGACTAAACTGTATTTAAGAGGAACAACTTAGTCATTCACATTGTAACTGAACCACTAGCACACAGAACTAAAAGAAGGCATTTTTGTATTTATTTTTTTAACAATCTCAAATTGCTTTCTAAATACCATTCTAAAACCAGTGAAAATGCAAATTATTCACAAAGGGCATGTCTTTAGTCAAATTAAATCTATGCTAGAAAACAATCTTGAGAAATTGCAGTAGTTTACATGATATTGCACACTTGAGGTTCATTTGCAGACAATCTAAATTCTATTTAAGTCCCAAAGCCTATTGTTTCTTGGAGGTAGCCACACCTCGAGGCAGCCAACAGGAAGAAAAATGCATAGGGATTTGACTGGAACTTAGATTGTCTGAATATGTCCCCTAAAATAAACCTAGAAAGGGTAGATGGTTTCAACCTGACTTTGATGAAACTACCTGCTACTGATAGGAGCAAATGACAGCTTTACCAGACTTCTCTCCAGAAACTCCTGTGTTTAATACAGCCTTAGATAATACTCTATCAGAACTTTAAACGTTCTACATTTCATAAAACTGTTAAAAGTAGCACTCTCTGCCAATGATCCCAAGTTTTCCAAACTGCATTCCTGTGGATGTCAAACTCAGCCCACACAAATGCTGGGGATGAAGGTGATGGGAAAGGGGAGGGGTGCTGGAGTGCTTAAGCTAAAATGTCTAAGACCCATTACCAAGATACTTTTTGCTTTCTTTTGTTTGAAAGGAGAGCTGCAGAAAGCTTTCTGCAAGACAGTTGTGTAAGCAACCATTCAAATACCTTACTACTTACCTTCTTTACAGTCGTGTTTATTTTCATGTAGCACAAATCCATTTCGGCACTGGCAAACATAACTTCCTACTGTGTTGATGCACTCATGCTGGCAGCCACCATTGTCCTTCGAACACTCATCCTTGTCTACAAAATACACAAGAAGATCGAGTGAGCATCACAGCCAGCAGTAGACCTTTCACCAAAAAGAAAAAGGTTGAGCAGAGAGTTTGAGTCCAGAAAAGGAAAATCTATGGCACAGTCACTCTTCTCAGTAAGGCAGTTTCATGGTACCTTAGTTCTAGACACTCATTGCTCAGCCTACAACCTTGCATCACGGCACAAAGAGTCTGTCTCATCTTTCTAGGAAATGAGAATTAGTTCCTGAGGGAGTTCCTAAGCTAGAACAAGGAGAGTTACCAGCTTTTACTCTTTCAAGTGGTCTAGCTGGTAAAAGTTTCATAAATATCCAAACTTTTATTTTACTTAACAATGGCAGTGTAATTTATGGACAACACATAAAGCATTCCAGCTTTATGCAAATTCCACAGTTTAATGGTGGTATGTTCAAAGGAACACATAGGGGAAACAAGACTTTAACCTCTACATTACTAAACATGTAAAAAGAGAAGGATTTCACATCAACTTTTCTAATAAGTTTCTTTCTTTTTCCCCAGCAGAGTGACAGTGTGCTTAACTTTTAATGAATCTGGACTTTACAGAACATCACAAAAAGAAAAACATTTCTTTAAAAAAAAAAAAAGAAATTGGCATTAGTTAGTTCAAGATATACAATGTAGCATGCAGTTCTCTTTATTAACATATAATCCTTCAAAAGAGCTTTTAGTGTGTTAGAAATAAAGCAGAGAGTAGCAGAGGAAATATGACCTGCGTTAAACAGCTACAAATTCATTGCATGGAAAAAAGCCAAACTAGATTAACAGGCTGTCATTCTAACAAGAGGCCTCAGCTGCCACCCTTCTATGTCATTCAGCTGTTCCTGTTTTAGTGAGGCTGGTCCTTTTAAAAGAGGCAGACTGCTCCTAACATATATGTACACATACATGTATATATGCATGCACATCCATATAACTGTATACATATAGACACATATATATACATTCTTAGATATAAAAAATATGTCTATATATATAAATACACACATGTTTTAAAAACCCTGTATTTTACACAACGTGTCATTTCAACATGCAAAAGAGAGGAAGAAAAAGAGCAAAGAAACTGTGGTCATCGAAGGGGTCTAGTTTAACAGGTTTGAAATGCAGAGCATTTACCCCCTTCAGCCTTATGTACCTTGAAAAGCAGCAAACATTGTCTTCAAACAAGGGAACGTGATATTTCAGACTTTAGTAGGTACAATAAGAATTTCTATAGATTAGAAGACACTATGGATAATTCAATTATCTTTTCATTGTCTTACTCATGCATTTTTTCCCTGTCCTTATTGATGCTCATGTTTAGTAACACAACAAAGGAAGTTTGCATTATATTTGCATATATATCATCTTCCTCTGCCAAAGTGTATGCAACTCTGCCAAAATGTAACACTTTTACCCATTGACTTGCAGGTCTTTCCATAAAAATCAGCTTTTACTTATAATACATGATGATAATGTACATTTATACATAAATTCTGCAAGTCAAACCCAAGCATCCACTGCATTTTGTTCTGTAAATCTCAAATCTGTTCGCACTGAAAGTTTTTGGAAGCTTTCTGGAAATGTGAACAGATTTGAAGATTAAGAAACAGTTGAAAACATAGGTGCCTCATACATTCAAAGACTTATAGTTGTCATTTTGATGATGAAAGAAGCATAAAAGCTCCACAATGCACTGCTTATGCACTTTACAATGCAAGTCCCAAACTGAGGCAGTAAATTTATGTAATCTCAAACCAAAGTTATAATCTTTCACCTTTGCATAGTAAGCACCACCATAAATTAATTCCACATTGCAAGTGAAGAACAGTAACAAGCAATTGAGAAATTAGAAATAATACAAACAAAAGTCTGTAATGTTTTTCCTCCTAAGAATGTTTGCAATTTTCCAACAAAATAAAAAAATAAAAGGAAGGCAAGTTCAAAATGCATTCAAGTTAGGCTTTCAAATACAGAGTAGGTGGATGAATTCAAAATAAAAAGCCCTGTTCATTTTCATCTTCCACCAAACCATGCAAAACATTCTGAGAAGTATTGTAGCATTAAATAAGCTTATATTCTATAAAATAATCTCTAATAAGACAAGTGCATAAAGCAAACAGTCCTATGTTGGATCTCCTCAGAAATAAAATAACGGACAGAAGGTAGAAAGGAGAAGTTTTGGAACACATTTGAACTACAATAATTACTTGTACATGGTTAATCAAGGATGCAACTGTTGAACAAGCCTTCCTCACACTTCATAACTGAGGACAGACTTTCTGTCAAATTGATTGCCCAGTTTCAAAATTTGTGAAAAAAACAATTAGTCTGCATTAGTTCCAAGAACAAATGTTTTGCCATGTAAAAACAAAGCCATTTGTTATGCTGACAGATGGAAACTAGAACCCCCAGTTTTGAATGGATACTTTCCTTCTTTTCTCATTTCAGTACCCAGAAGAGGGAAAGATCCATTCTCAACAAAATGTTAGATTGAATCATTCAGAGGACAAATGGTCGTACCTCTGAGACCCTCAGAGGCCACCAGTCTGTGATTAATACGTACTCGGCCTGAAGGGACCTGTATCAAATCCTCGCAAGATTCAAAAACAAAAATTTTCTCTTTGCAGGCAGCTTTCTTGTCTGTGGAAAAAAATGTACCAGGATGGCACCAGAGATGAGTTTGTGCTCAAGGCTAGAAACATTCTAGCTTTCTATTTTTAATTGCTCAAGGAATCATCACCCAAGAAAAAATGTCCCAACAAACCTTATTTCATCAAACATCATGTATCTTTTGAATGATCACGCAAAGAATCATGTTTATTTAAAACACTGAAGTAACTCTGAAACTTATGACAAAGGGAAGCAGTTTAATGACATATTATCACTGATCCTTAGGTTATCTTCTCAGAAAGATCACAGAAGAAAAAAAAAGGGGGTGGGTTTTTTTAATATATATTATTAATATTATTATATTTTTGGCATTATTTTACATTCCTCTAGTCTTACAGGCCCAGCAGAGTGGTAGGTCCTGCAGGGACTGACTGCTAGGTCATTGTCTTGTAACAAAAGCGGAAGAGAGAAACAGAGGAAGACAGAAAAAAAAGAGAAGAATAAAACCCCAATTACTCAAAGTTTTATTATTTATTTATTTTATTTATTTATTTTATTTATCCAATTCCAAAACTGTTTATTAAAAGTGTTAAAAAAATTAATATATCATTACTTCCTAGTTTCCTCTCTTTATCCAATAAACTTGATTACAAATGTACAATAGCGTCTCTGTAGATCAGCTAGATCCCTGCAACAGCTCCCAACTGAGCTTTCTTCAGAACTGTCCCATCAAATGAAAATTTTACAGAATACTGGAAAAAAAAGTTTTTCTCACTTTCCAGTAGCACCTGTCTGGCTGTTAACACTATTTTACAGCCAAAAATGTAATTACATGTTGCCTTGTATCAACATGAATACCTTACTAATGCAGGTCATCTGTTGCCCTATGTCACTGTTTGCTTTCACAGTTTATCACAGTAGGTTCCAACCACTCAAAAACTGCTTTCTGTCTTCTAAGCTGGAGCTGGGCCATGCTTTTTCAGCTCTAGCTGTGGCTGCAGAATTCACCACCAAAAGAGTTACAAAAAAAAGAGAAATTCTTTGGCTGTGCTTGGGGAACATATTACAGTTCCTAATCTTCACACTAATTTGACATACCCACCTTTCTCTCTTGCTGAGCATTGCTTATGCCCTTTATTGGTGAAAAGAGTGCAAGATACAGTGTTTTACTCTGTAAAAAGTAAACTATGTAAAAATATCATTACATTTTTTTCATGATATATGTCTTTATAACTCTTTACACATATTATTGTGATTTAATTAATAAAATTGGTAAATGCCTCCAGCAAGTATCTAAGCATTTCTACCCAGATATCATTCTAAAAGTATTGCATTCTGAAGACTAATATATATATATATATATAAATATAGGCAAAACCCCCACATTTCATCAGCTGAAAAGTTATCAGTTACCAACTCCCAAAAGTCAAAATGCTTGAAATCTCAGGTCTGTTCTTCACTGATATTTCAGTAGCCTATTATGCCCATATTAAGAAATTCAGGGGTAAGAAAGTCTCAGTGTTTTCTGACAGCCCTAAGGTTTTTGTCTGATGAATTATTTGGAGATGACATCCTCTTTCTCGATACTTTATGTTTGGAAGTTTGATTTCTTTCAAACATTAAAAAATTGTCAAATATTTTCAAATGGAGAAAGGTAATTTAGCAGAATAAAATCTGCTAGAAATTAGAAAAACTGGAAGAGGACTGAGAAAAAATAAAAATAAAATACAAAGTATTTGGACTCAGATGAAACAAGAGAAGAGATTATGATAAAAATGCATTATGAAACAATAAATTTATATGCTTACAGAATTAAAGACTATTTATATCAAATTATCTCTTTTTTTAAGGGAATTAGATATATACTATATCAAGGACACATCACATGTTTCTATTAATTAAAAAAACACCAGTTCAGATTTATCCCTGACTAATTAATTTTTTTCTGGTGATTACTGATGTAATTTAATTATTTTTTTTTAATTACCAGGAAAATCTTGTTTTCACCTTTTGAGGGAAAGGTAAGAAAATTTCATCCAGAACTGAAAAATACAAGAGAAACAACAGTTCTGAAGGATTACAAGCTGATGCTTTGTACTCTATGACTTATAGTCTAGTCTTTCCCCAAGATACAGCATGGCTGTGATTTCTTCCTAGAACTCATTCATAATAGTAAAAAAATAATTTAAACAACCAATCAAATAAATAAGTACATATGTGAAGATGAACTATCACTTCAAAGAAACCCAAAATTCAACTGAATATAAATGTATAAATGTTCAGCAAGTCCAGAAAACACAACTTCTGAACCACAGAGCTTACACAAATTACAAAGCTATCATTGCCAATCCTTATGTGACATAGCTCTATAGATCTTGAAAAGATTTAACAAATTTCATTTGCAGTTTTTAGAACTTGAACATATCAATCCTTATTTCTGTAAAAAGTCAAAATACGTGACAATTATGAGGCCTATATAAAATAACTTGTTGAGTAAGCATTTCTAGGAAGTGTTTCTTCTAGGAAGAAGCTCTGTGTGCACACATGTTTTTACTACAAATAGAAGGAAACCTGGAAAGCTTGCTATTGTAAACAATAAATTTAAAAGCAAAAACTGTTACTATATGTAAAGATGGATCTGTAAGACTATGACCAGAGAAATGTGACTACTAGAAAAAAAATATACTTTAGAGAAGGTAAAACATTTGTTAATGTCTTTGCATGAGATGAAACACCCTTTTTCATCTTTCATAATTGCTTAATAAAAATATTAAATAATAGGAAACATTCAAAGTCTAAACTGTTTGTCTTATTTTTTCCCTTTCCAAACCACCTCACTTATACATTATACTTCTTATTACCTAGTCATAATGATGAGTTATTAACAGTAACCAATTAAATACCATTTCACTTCAGTTTTCATAAAATATTTTAGCAAAAAGTTGCTCATAATGGTAACATATTTTACTACATGCTAAGGATTCTCTAGATTCAGATTTTTAACTGCTATCAAAAAAACCTGGGCACAATTCAACTCCGAAATTCTTCTATGGGACATCCAGTTTAGGGAGGGGGGCAGATGGGACTGGTTTTTTGTGTTGTTTTACACAAGATAACATATCTCCCTATTTGTGTGTGTGTGTAAACACACAGGAATAACACAAAGCAAAATTTCTCAACAAGCACCGAGTGGTATCCTGCCAGTCAGATTATTATATTCTAGTCTCAATGGGTAATTGCAGAGACAACTGTTGTGCAAATATTTCCTCACATCTTAAGCTTCACTCATGTCTAATTTTATTCAAGAATATACGTCCTTATATGATATAAACTTCCATCACTCTGATCTGCCTCAGTAAAACTACACTCGTAAATAAAAAGATTTTTGCAAGAGCAAGATCTTAAACTCTGTTCTTCTGCAAAACATTAAGAAGTGCAAAGTTTGGCACAAAAGTACCCATAATGTTAAACAAATGTTGTAGCACAGTGGTAATTTCCCAACAAATGGAATATATTAAGAGACCTGAGTAGAAAAAATGCAAGTGTACATAGTACGCAACTGGTATCATATTACAACTGGGATTTGAAAAAAATAGCAACAAAACTTGGGATAAAAGAAATGTAACAAAAATGTAGGAATACAGTGAACTTACTTTCTTCCTCTGTATCCCACAAAGTTTATTTGCTTCTGCTGTTATTTAAATATATATATATATATTCATATATTTTCTACAGACATCACAATTCAGAAGGGTATTTTAAGACAGAAGAAGGGTTTATGCTTATGTAAATAAAACAAATTCAAAGCTATCAGGAAAACCATAAACAAAAAGGCCAATCATTTTCAAACCAAGAGAGTGCTCGCTCCACCCAGTCAGTGGACACTCAGAGACACTCGCAGGTATACAAGAGCAATTTTCTATACCTGAGAAGAAGTGTGCCTTGAAACCTTTTTTTGACACAGTGTTGTCAGATCGAAACTCAATTCGCATATTGTTGTACTGAGAGGTGATAACTTCAGGCACTTCTGTACCACAGAATTTACCGTGTAGCTTAGAATCAGAAGAAAGGCCACTACGAATCTCTACATAATCATATTTGCAAACCTGAGAAAAGAAAGGAGAGAAAAAATTTTGTCTAACCAAAATAAAAGCATGAAGTTGTTTGCAAATGTCAGAACTCTATTGGTATATGCTGCTTAATAATACATGACTCTGAAAACATTTGTAAATTCTTACAAACACTCACTGACTTTATGTAAGAACATTTTAAGGTCACTAACACAAAACTATACTATGAATTACATTCAAAATTATATTTTTATAGATACTCATCTCTCTTTCATGTCTAAATTTCAAGATGCTTAGTAGTATTTCTATTTAATCTAAAAAGTAAACATTCCATTGACAGTAAACTAAAATCTGGAACCATTCACCCTAAAAATTATACCTATTTGTTTGCTATAAACGACATACCTTGAACCTACAAACTTTCTACTGCTTGCATTTCATAGATTTTTAAAAAATATTAATTTTCACTTAGAAACTTGCAAGGTTCGTTTCTACCATAATGTATTTAAAACTTATGAATTTATTTACAAATATATGAATTCGCACCATTAAAACAGTACATTGTTCTTTAATAGTAGCCTAGCTATAATGTCAATGCATGATACACGCCATTTTCATTAAAAGGTTAAAAATAAAGTAAAATAATGTAATAAAAAAGCCTTATGCAAGGCCTACTATTCATGATAATACTTTCAATGCATAATCCCTTGGCCAACCTAAAGCCTTCCACCCAAAAACTTCTAAGCTTCTTAGGCTCAACTATCAATCATTTAATCAAAAATGTCCCAGTTGTCTGCAATTAATAGCTTAAGAAAAAACAATGGCCAGGAGGATTCATACAGAGCTTATATTGTCCATTAAATCCAAGTTGTATTTGATAAATCACAATTTCCAGACAAAAAAGAATTGTCAGAGGAGCTGGAAGGGAACAATTGAAAAGCAGGTTTTGGCATTTGTTATTCTCTTTCCTTAGGAAAAATTGTCAACATTTCCAATTGCTTTTAATATAACACACCAAAGACATAGATTAAATTTTTATTTTTATTGGAATAATTTTCATATATTGCAGAGTCAGAAAGTGACTAATTCAGTCGCAACTATTCTTATACAATATGAAAAACACAAAGATTCGTAAAACTTGAGCTACTGATACATGCTGATTTATATTACTGGAAGATAAATTCATAATAATGCATGTGATTTTCAAATACAGCTCACTACTTTTAATAAATCCCAGTAATTTCAGCAATATACTAGTGGTGAGGTTTTATGGTTTCATAGCTTTAGATCAGGTAAAGGTAATTTCAGATAGGTCTAATTTCCTCTGTACTACACTGTATTGAAAAAAATTATACAAGGTAAATGTAAAATGTAAACGTAAAATATTAAAATTGTAATAGTGAAAAAGGCATATTAAACTTGGCTTTAAATGGAGCTCCTATAAGAAAAAAATAATTAGAGTACTTGATAAATGTATACTTTTTGTCTGCACTCAGATAATATATTAGAATTTTCCAGATATTATATGTTTCTTCTGATTTTCACATCATTAGTACTACCTTTTAACAGTATAAAGCTAAGATTTAGTAGCACAGATGATGATCAAACTGAAGTTCTGAATGTTGAAAAACATTCAAATTTTTTGAATCTGCTTAAGTTACATGTCTTGTATGACCTTAGAAAACTGATTTAACTTCATCATACCCGAGGTGTTTTCCCTGCGAATCTTAAGTACCAAGAAAGGGCAGGGAAAAAAAATTACGATTTGTTCAAATGGTAAATAAATTTTAATTCTCTGGAATTTTTAAGTTTTTATTACACCTCTTTCAGTTCTAGTAATAATTATAGTAGGGCATGAGTGGAACATATATATCCTTGAAAGTTGGAATTTCATGGTCTTTAGAACCCACTCCAAATACTAGAGAAAAAAAAAATCTCACATTGCTGCCTCTGCAAATAATTTTGATGTATTTTGGAGAAGGCATGTCTGGTTTGGTTCTTAGTTATAAATTAAACTGCAGCTTTTGCCCCTTTAAATCCCATGCCCAAAAGACAGGCCATCTTTATCCTAAATATGTTGTTACAAATTTGTTTAGTCAGAAATAATGTCCTGGGATTTGCATCCTTAATGCCATGTGAAGAACATGCATAGAAACTCAATGGCTACAGCACATTATGGCTGGATTGTGACAAGGGAACTCAATGTTATGACAGAGAAGTGTCTACTAAGCAGAAAAAAAGCTTAAAAGTTGATGTTGAAACCCGTATTTTATGTTTCTCATCCAAAAAACCCACTGTAACCCCTACCACTTTGTTTAAAGCTATAAGGAGCATCCTTTACTAGATGAAGGGCTCTGCCCTGTCCCTCCTGCTACCTGGGGACAAGATCCCCCATGCCTTGGGGCTGATCAGCTCAAAAACTGCTGCTATTCTATTGTGCCTTATTTCTGGTACTGCTTGTTTTAAAATATTCCCCCACTGAGATACTTGTGATTTAAATGCTCCCTCACTTCATTACACATCTTATGTGTATGCTTTGTAGTCAGTCTGTAAAGATGATTTGGTTTCTCCAGATTTTCTTCTCTTGAATTCTTTCCAATATTCCTCAGCCCCATTTGCTCTGTTTTACTTTGTTGATAAAAAAAGTCAGCTGAGACTCAGCAGAGAACATTTTTTTAAATTTCTTGTAATGCATATACATTTAGATGATATGTAAAAGAGAGCTATTCTCCCCATGTTTGTTTTGAAAGAATCCAGAAACAGTCCCAAAATGAAAACAAGAATATCTATGCTTATTGTCAGTATATGAAAGGTCAGCAAGGGTTTTATAAGACGATATCTATTTTCGAATGCTTGCAAAACTCTTCATCATGTAACAGATTGCGCAGCTCTTTGTACACAGTTACTTACTTCGTTTCCTTCTAACTCAAAAAACTCAAACTTCATTGAAATTCGGTACTGCGTTGGGGCGACCACCTGCCACACACAGTTTTTGTTTGGAGGATACTCTTTGGGCCACCCTGGTGTGGTTATAGTCCCATTTAGCTTTGTCAGGAGTCCTCCACAAGCAGCTGTAAAATTAAAAGAGCATAATTTCTTGACTGAAACCATGTTTTACTGTAAACAGAAGCACTCTGAGAAGAATCAGTCCTCTCATTACTTATAGTGCTGTAATGCCCAGACAGACTAATCAGAACCTTGTTTTATCATTCGTGGTGCAAACAAGGAGAAAGAGACAGCCCCTATCTTGAACAGCTTGCAGGTTTGTGAACAGAGATAAGTTTCAGGATTATACAAGGCGTTATCATATTCATTCTTTTCCCTTCTCTCCAGAGACTCTGGTTATTCTCTCACAGCCTTTCCCATGCAAGTCCTCTGACCTCACCACCCTCCCCAGGACCTTGACCACCCCTCTTCTGACAGACAGACTACTTAAGATGCATTTCGCATTTCCCCAGCTTCTCTCTGACTGTTGATACAGACTCAGCCTTACCTGTCTCAGCTCATATAGCTGTATATGCCTCCCATAATCTACTACATAGGGTCACTTCTATGGAATAGCAGTCACGTACACTTCAGTCATAATTACTTTTGCTGAAGTACAGATGTTCAAGTAATAGAGAAAATGCCCCTTATTTTCAAATATATGTCAAATAGAGACAACCATACAACAGAAAAATACTGTACTATGTTTGTGAATGCAGTTCAGCTAGAAAAGGATAAACTCATTTATCTTTTCCATCTGTGTAAATTTTTTACATAAAAAAGGAAAGTAATGGGATTTGCAGGGGTTCTTGATCACACTCTGCTACATTGATACCATTACAGCACTATGGCAGCACTGGAAATCATCCACAAATCTCTTTCCAAAGAGCCGAATGCTAACACCGAATGCTTTACAAACTGGCTATTCTTATCTAGCTGATGATCTCACACACTGCATCTACTTCATCTAACACAGCTGGGAGAACTCTCCAGTTACTGTGTCAAGGCTCATTTTTTCAACTCAGACTGGCTCCTGGCTTTCCATGCAGAATGCTTCTTGGTATACATGTAAAGGTAATCTGATGGGGGTGGGTGGACTGAGACCCTGGGTCACACCATAGCGTATCAAAAAGACCAGACATAGATTTAGAGGCTGCAGTCAGATGACACAAGATGTCCCCTCAAATGATATAGTCTGGATCAGGACAAGTACTGCCAGATTTCAATTTCTGCTTTTGAACGTAGTGCTATAGGTTGTTGAGGCAATGGTGGGGAAAAAACCCCCAAACCAAAAGTTAAAGCTTTCTAATATGCTGTCATTGGGGGAGATTTGGATTAGAAGACCATCAAGCAAATTTCTGTGCTTGTTGACACTTCAGTGAAGCATAGGGCAAAGTTTCTAACTTCTACTCTGGCATCATGTGTGAATTAATACATCTAGCTCACTTCTTAAAGGCCTAAACTATAATTCGGACATAATGCTCAGTGTGACTAGATAGTGATTTTAGTTCAGCAGTCCCAAGTACTATCTATATACAATGAGTGCCACCTGACATGGAACAATCATATATACACTTTAAGGGATAGCTCAGGGTTTTTGCTCTACAATGCACTGCAGTGCTTGAAGGGACTTCTTTTGCTAGAGTTGCTTTACTGTTTGGGCACAAGGGAGGTATTCCTTTTCTGTTTTCTTTTTACGAGTCAAACAGATAAGCTAAGAATAAATTTGTGGTATCCCTTAATTTATTGGTGTCTATGAATAAAAATCCAACAATAATTGGTGCATAATGATCAAGAGCTTATGTTTCTTTCCTTTCATATGAAATATGCACAGAATGCAAAAGTTCGATCCTATGTTTACAGACTTCCACTTATCAGATTTTTATTTCTCCAAATGATTATTTGAACACACTTTTCTCACCCTGAGAAGTAGAATTTGTTTCCAGCAAGAAAAGTCCACAATCTGATTAGGAGTGAGAATGATTTCGCAGAACTTTGAGGTGGACTAATGGATCCTGCTTTTTAGACCTGCCACTTCCCAGGCACACCCCAGCCAGGGGGATTGTTAAATACTCTGATTCTGAGACAGTGGCACATTGCTGGTAATTAATTGTCTCCTTATGCACAGTGGTAGACTTTGCTTTAGTGACTATGAATAATGTAGTAAGTAGTATGAAGTCCTGCTTTGCATTGTTCCTGATCAACTAACAGCAAAATCCGCAAAGCTAAACTGCTGACAGACATCAGATGTACATGACTGCTGTAGACAGACATTACTCTGGCACCACTGCTAAAAAGGGAGCACTTGGTTTTCCAAGTTGGATTGCACAGGTCTGCCCTGCTAGGATGAAGCATATAAAATGTGTAGCATTTCATTCAAGCAATGGTACCCTGAGAGCTTAAAGAGCCCACAGAACAGCAACACACTGTACCTTCACAACTCTTTTTGTCAGGACCAAGTTCATATCCAGGATCACAGGCACACTGGTAACTGCCCAGAGTATTTACACAGCGCTGCTCACAGCCACCGTTGTCAGGTTTGGCACATTCATCTTCCTCTACCAAGACAGGGAAGAATGCAAAAATGTGTTAAATAATTACCTTCCTTGGCTGTAACTGCTGTATCAATATTAACCCAGAAAGCTGTATGCATGCCATTGTAAGGTGCACTACATAACACACTGTGGTTGCTGACTAGAGGATTTTCAAATGCTTAGGAGACCCGCAATGGGAAAAATAAAAATTTGTCCTTTGTGGGGTTTGGGTGTTTTGGTTTGGGCTTTTTTTTTTTTTTTTTTTTTTTTTGTGGTTTGTGGTTTTTTTGGGGAGGGGTTGTTTGTTGGTTTTTTGGGGGTTGTTTGTTCATTTGTTTTTGGGTTTTTTTGTTGTTGGCTTTTTTTTTGCTTTTTGGTTTTTTTAACAATGCCTACTGACAGCTGCAGAACTAATTTGTAAGCACTTTGTGGGCAGCATACAGCAATTCAGACAGCCATAATCTAAAGGTTGTATAAAGTATTGAAAGAAAGACAGAAAATCCACAGTAGGGTCACTTGAAGGGCACTTTATCTCCCACAGAATCAATCTGTGCATTATCCTGAATTCATACTCAAAAACAGATTAACAGAATCCTCAAATCCCAGGTTTTCATTCTACTGATATTAAAGGGAACAGGATGCATCAGGGCAAGGGAAGGGAAAGGAATTGTGTATTCTCTCTACTAGCTCTGAAGTATACCCATGAGATTCACTGCTAAAATATTCCTCAGATGTTAAAATATTGTTTCCTTACACCAGGACAAGTAATTTCTTAGGAATAAAACAGAGCTCCCCCTCTGATGCCTATAGCCTTCAAAGTTATAATGTTTACACTGAAAACTGTCAGTTAGGGGAAGAAAAGTCACAGTTTGTGTCTTTTCAAAAAAGCAAAAATGTTATTCCGATGGCATGACCTGTATTTCAGGTGTCATCTTGGCCACACCACTGCCAGTGGCTTTAATCGTGCCATGGGTAGCACAGGATGGGAATTACACTTTCCATACACCAAATGCTTCAGATATAGCTGCAGTTGTATGGCACCTTCCTCTCCCCAAAAGTCACTCAAAATTGGAGGAAGACTGTGAGGTCATTGCTCACTACGATTTCTCAGCTTTTTTTTTTTTCTTGCTTACAGAAAGTAATAAATCGATAAAGCAGTCTAATGTAGCAAATGGATTAGAAAAAACCCACATAATTTAGAAACACCCCCCCCAAAAAAAAAACCCTTAACAGAAAAAAATCCATTTGCAATTATAATGTTTGTATTTGATAATACAAGTCAAAAAAAGCCACTTTTTCACAAGATTAGATATGTTTCAAAACTAAGTTGATTAACTGAACCTGAAGACAGTAGAAAGTTGCAATGGTTATGTTCCTTCATTCTTTGGATACATTTTACAAAGAGATTCAAATACCTCTATTGTTTTGCTTTGATTATATTGTATCCTCGGTAAAAGATATGCTAGAGACTACAGAACTACTACTAGTAGAAAAAGATTGAGAAATATTTTTAAAATCCTGTAATAATTTTTCTAGTACAAAAAAAAGTGATAGGCTGTTCACAAATCCCAATAAGCTTTAACACTTACCTTTAAAAAAGTTAGCTGCAAATCCTGCTTTGTTAACAGTTCCATCAGAAACAAACTTCATCCACAGGGTATTAGAGGTAGATCTAATGTCTTCTGGTTTGTCATAGCCACAAAAGTGACCAATTAAAGGACTGTTTTCATTTGTTCCATCTCGAATTTCCAAGTAGTCATATGCACAGTTGTCATGTCTTTCAATCTGTAAAACATAATTATCAAAGTGACCCATCTGAACCATAAATATCAAATATCAATCAGATAATAAACAGAACAGGAATTTTTCAAAATTAAAGTTAGTATCCCTGTTTAGGGTTCAAACATCAGGAAGATGAACAAGTATCACGAACTTCTTTTAACTCTACTTATTTTCTACAAGAAAAATTATTGAAATTTTACAAAGGACACAGCAGTCTAACTGGAAAAAAGTAACTAAAAAAGACACTCTCACCTCTAAGCTTCCTAATGTTCTGTCAAATTTCTACTCTGAGCCCCAGTCCTCTTTTCTCATGTACACTCAACAAGATTAATGGTTCAACAACTAAACAGGTCATAAATATCTACTGTTTTTTCAATATTAAAAAGCTTAATTTTTACTAATATGATAAGATTTTTAGACTCTTTCTTCATCCTCCACACAGTTAAAAATTTTGCATTTGTCACTATTCACTGATGTTGCAGGGAAAATGTGAAAAATTGCTGTGCCTAAAGAGTTGGAGGCATCTGTAGGATTAGATTCAAACACACTTGTAAAATTATCAACTCTTAAGTAGTCAACAGAACAGAGGACAAAAAAAAAAAAAAGGTCATAATTTTTCTGCAGCTGATGTGTCTGGTTTCCATTGCAGGATTCCTGATTTCAGGTGTCATCTTTTGACTTTCTGGGTCAATGAGTGAATCTTTTCTGTACTGATGGAGAAACCTACTGAAAACAGAACACTTGAAAATTTCCCTTCTCACTTAAACTTTCTGCTGGATGACATCCAAACACAGACTAATATGTGAGTGGGCATATGTGCATTCTACTTGAGTAACAAACCTTGTGCTCTTTATACATAATAGTATTTGCAGAGTCAGTCAGAAAGGGAATAGCACCAGCGAGGAAAGCAGTAGCAGCCCAAATACGACCCTACATGGAGCCCAGATAATTTATGATGCTTATCTTTACTGAGAGAGTATCTTTCCCAACAGAATTAAAAACCCTCATGAGCTGGGTTGTTTTACTGCCAGAATACCTTATGTCATTTATGCAATATAGCATCCTAGTTATAAAAGAATTAACTAGATCCAAGCATTCGAAAATAATTCCTCTAAGAATACTATTGTTCAACTAACTAGCTGAATCATGAGGCAAGTTTAGGAATGGAGGGGGATGGGCAGGGCAGCAGGATCACAGTCAGGTAAAAAGGGGTTGGAGAGGCCTCGAATTTCATTCAGAATATCCAAATTCTGTTAAAACAATAACGAATTCAAAACCAAACCCGTAAAAATCCACATTTTATCTCCAGAGTTTTTCTTCCACCTAAGCCGCACAGTTAGTGCAAGTGTTTGCTGCTAGTCTGCTCTTATTGTGCATTATGACCAACACTAAGCTCAGTAACCACCACAGACTAAGGAGCTTTCACTTAGCATGCTAGGATTTCTGCTTTTTTTATGTAAAAGGGAAAATTGAGGGAAGGGACTGTATGATTTCATTGGAATTTAATGGCACTTATACTTAACATTTCTTTTTCCAACGTTCCAATTCTTTAACCATTTACATGCATAATTTTCTCCCTGTTACTTCTCTGGCACAAACCATACTGCCATTTATTGTAATTTCCTAGATGTTTCCTCAGGAATTGCCCTGGGCTAGAGCTTGAGTGAGAGTGAGAAAAGTCATGAAGATTTGTGGTGCAACTACCTATTCCTTATTTGAATGGCAATTGTATGTTTACAACTAACGCACTCAGGAATTCATCTACCTGAGCACTGGTAAGTTTTTGATAATACCAATTCCAAATTTTCATTAATCTAAATAATAAAGATTAAACACATTATATCATATTCCACTTTGAAACAAAGTCTCCTTGTTATCATATGTAAAATATGTAAAATATGTAAAAATCATACCGCACTCTGATGTAGAAAGAGGTGAACGGGTCCAAAGACCACTAATATCAGTGAAGGAATTGTGCATTTTCACGCCAGCTCCATGATCATTTCACTACTCAAGGTTTTTAACAAACATCAGTTTTTATTATGTTTCCATGTTTTATGGGCAATATGGAAATTATTATTATTCGCCGGCCCAGTGCGGCTCTGAGTGGCACGTGTCAAATTCCCGTTGAGGTGAATTAGTAGTTTATTTTCAGAGGATCACTTTATTTTGGGCAGAAGACAACAGCTAAAAATACATTTTGCATAGCAGTAAGTTTCTAAACTTCCTAAGACTATAAAAATCAACCAACATACAAAGTACTATTGATTTTCAAAAAGAAAAAAAAAAAGGTGGCCATTCTAACATATTTATTTAATTTTAGCATATTACTAGTGCAAATAATGCCATTATTATTATCAACATTATTATATTAAGGGATTGAAGTGTTACACCTATATATAACACACGTTATATATAGTATTGTGGTTTTGAGAAATTATAACTGGTGTTAAGGCACTTGGTAACCAACGAAAAAGGACTAGTATAAAACATGCTTTTCTTATCTATACCTCAGGTTTTAAGATGTCGTGGTACTGTCATCTGGGAACACTGCTATACAAAGATCTATTATACTTGCAACAGTCTCTTATTCCTCCTACTTTCTCCTATACTTTCTATCCTTCCTATTTTCTCTCTTATTCTTCCTACTTCCTATTTGTTCCTTGAGGAATATCTCCTCTAGTTAATGAAGAGACTCCTAGGGAGTTTGGTTGTAAATGCATTGATTCCATAAACCTTACTTACTGGAACACTAAAATTTCACAAGACTGATATTACACGTGGATGAGAAGAAATATGTGAAATGTTAGCAAATTCAAAAAAAAACATAAATAAGAATGATTTACAGAAAAATGCATTTCCTATAGGAAAATGAAAGATACCATTGGCTCCTGAAGGCCTTGGAGGAAACCTTAAATTTGAATGGCATTAGAGAACTAAATTGAAAAAATTACTGAAAAACTCCTAAGACAGGCACAAAAGTGCAGGAAAACAGTAAGAAATCTCCTGGAGAAACAGCAAGCCAGAGACATTCTCAATATTCATTGTCAAAAGAAAAGAAAACTCCTTGTGTGTAGTTCAAGGTTTAAAAACAACCACACCAAAAAACAAAAAAACCCCACAAAAAAACCCAAACCAAAACAAAAAAATCCAACCCACAACAAACCAAATGACTTTAGACTAAAATATTTAGTTCAAAATTCCAGAGCACCTTTGTTTGTAGCACTCCTCCAACAGAAAGAAAAAAAGGTAAAAAATTTAAATTAAAAAAAGAATTCAAAACTTACAAAAACAAACAAAAAAAAAAAAAGAGAGAAAAGAATATGAAAAGCAAATCTGGGAGCAATTCTATTTCAGGAAAAATCTTCCATTTACTTTTTGTCATTGTTAATTTATTTGTTCATAGAGTTAAATTGCAGTACAGGTAAACATATCTGCCTCAGGTTGTAGACTTTAATCATAAAAAGTGGCCTATATGCCTAGTGGAATCAGATCAGACAAATTTTATTCCCTGACTTATGTAAAAATAATTTAAATGAACACTATCTGCACCAAGATTAACAAGGCCACTCAAATGAGGCAGATTAATATGGATCAGCTCTACAAACCCTCTGGATTGCTTTAGCTGGTGAGACTGCAAGCTAACAAAAGTTCTTTAAACAAACAAACAAACAAACAAACAAAACCAACCTGCTAATTTTGAAAGATCAGTATTATAAAGGTGACTATAACAATCAAAAAATGGAGTTACCAGTCCCAACATCTCTACTGCCATGCAGACAGTAGAAATTATAGTAGCTAAATAAGAAAGAGTAATCCCACACTCAATGGAAAATGCGTTGCCCACAGCAGGCAAAATAAGATGACTCATTGATACAATTTGGAAATCTCAGCTTCCCTAGTGCTTTCCTTTCAGAGTGAAGGTTATTTATACAGTTATTTTTTCTAGCATTACATATGGATAATGAGAATTCCTCTTACTTAACTGTACCTTTCAAAGGACAGAGAAATAATTTTCCCACAAACACACTCCAATAAGTCTTTGGCCTGACATTTGCTTTCTTCAGTCTCAGCTGGCACAAAGAACTGTGATTTTTTTAAACAACTTTTTGTTTTACTAGGCAGCACACCAAGGATTCAGTCCCGAGAGGGACTTAGTATCAAAAAACAGAACACCTATGTTCAAGCACTTGGAGCTGAAATGGAAATCAGACCCAATGGTGAGTGTCTAGGCAAAGCACTTCAGAGCAGTTTCCAAAGCAACTCTCATTCTCAGCGGGGAGCCTCGTGGACGAGTCAGTAAGAAATACTGCAAGGACAGATATAACAGTCTTGTGCCTTTCTGGGGCACCTCATTTGATGCTCAAGGGCATCTTGCCACTCTGGAATTACAGTTCAGACTCTCCCTGGAAAAGTATGTAGTTTTCAAGTCCCTACTGTTGGAAAATTTTATTTTTTCCTTTCAAAACACACGCAGAAGAACCACCAGCTTGAGATTACTGTTGAACTGTACTTCTGCTCAATTTCCTCTTTCTTCTTATGAGGTGTCAGTCCACATGTTTCTCCTCTAGAGAGTGCCATAATACTAAATAGTCTGGGGGAAAAACTGGACATTTCTTCCTATGTCCTTACCCACTTGCCTACTAAATTGGGCTGTTTTGCTGGTCCTTTGCTTCTAATTACTGCCTATATGGTGAGGCATGAGCATGCCACCTTCGCACCTGTAAACAGTCCACAATTTGGTGATTAGAAAAAGGTCCTGAAAGATAAGGAGAGATGTAAGTTTAATTCTCCCAGAGGAAATATTGAATTGAGGTCAGCTCAAGTGATAATGTATTGCATGTGCAAACCATTGCTGAGCAACTGCATGGAGATCAAATATTGCAGTAAGTCTCTTTTGCAGAGGCATAGTGCCATTTCCCTTGTGATGACTAAAAAGTACTGTGCACCACTGGAAGACTAGAAAAGTTCCATATCTAGTCAGTAAATTATATAAAATTATTGAAAACACTGTTTATTTTTAAAAGTGCTTAAATAAAGAGACTGACATACTATGTTAAGCAATCTTGAGCCCAGTCATGCAGACTCTGAAGGGCATTTGGAAAACTGTTTGGGCAGGGAGAGCTGATCTTATCTGCATTAGAGCTGACATTAATTTAGGATTTTAAAAAAAGGGTAAATTAAGTAGAATCTGTGAAATTATTAAAGTTTCTATACTTTATATTCATAATTGCTGTTAAGTCCCAAACCCTTACTCTCTCATGCTCAGATCTTTCATCATTCATAGCAAAAGTGTGCTATAACCCTGAAGTCTGTCTGTAAGAATAAAATAACAGGTTAGAAATTATAGCTATCTTTACTATACCTCTGTCTATGTACACCATAAAGCCAAAAAGTTTAGATTTTTAAAAAGTGTGCCTTATGTCATTACTGCTGAACTATATTCAAAAAAAACAAGTAAATTTAAAGTGTTTTACTAAATTTGTCTACAAACTTCAAGTCAGTGTATAGTGTAGGGATAAAAAAGACGTATTAAATATTACTTTTTCTTTGCTATATAATAGTTTAACACTGTTTAGCAATGTTATACTCAGAGAGATGTACACTAAAGACATACTAGTATGATTCACCATGGCTTTTTTCTTCCCTCACTAAATACAGGTTTGTAGTCTGAATATAAGTAGTTTGGGGTTTTTTTCTTCTCAAAACAGATGCAAAAAACACAGTGTTTTTTCTCCAGACATATATTCCTTTTTAACGA